CCGGCTGGCGGGGACGAAGGCGGGCGAGGCCTCCTGACGACTCGGCGGGGGGCAGCGGCCACAAACCCCGAACGGGGTGCCTGTCGAGGTTTTTATCCCCAGCCCGAGCGAACAGTTAAAACAGCTCCAGCTCTGTGACCAGGAATTAACCTCCCACAATAAAAACGGCCGTTAAATGATTACGGTTTACTAGGTCTTTAAAATCGGGGGAGAAAAACCCTTGCTGTATTAAGTTCACATGCAAAAAAATGGAGCTAAACGTAATTGTTTGGTTTTTTTTTTAACCCCGGCTGGCATGCACGCCCCAGCTATGACTTCCTCAACTCTCCTACGCGGGGGGAATTCGGAGGAATTCCAGAGCAGATCAACGGGATTGTGAACAACGGTATCTTCAGGTGCTAACGTCCACGGGAGATCTAATCCAGATGTGCACCCCCGCCTCGGGAACCCTGCGTTCCCTTACGGGTCTCCCCTCCCGAGTCACCGGCGGAGAACGACGACCCCCGGTGCCCGGCACCCCTCCAGCCTACACGGAACGACCACCCCCGGTGCCCGGCCCCCCTCCAGCCTAAACGCGCTGCCCCGTTGCCGCTCGCCGGGGGCTGCCCGCGGGACATCCCCAGCAGCTCCGGGGCGTCTGGTTATGGCTTTTACGGCTGGGAGACACTTTGCGTGCACGATGGGTGTCATATAATTGAAGTGGGTGGTGCCGCGGTTTTGCTCCGGTCCCAGCCGGCGTGAGGCTCGGGAGTAAGAGGAAAGCTTCACCCAGGCTCCTCTCGCGGTGCGGCGGAGAGGAGGAAGAGGAGGAGGAGGAGGAGGAGGAGAAGGACAGGCGGGAGCTTGATCACACCGCAACACCGGCCTTGCGATGCGCAGCGCGTACGAGAGGAGGAAGGCGTCCACTACCTGAAGCAAATGGGATCCGAGCTCCTTGGCCACGTTATCCAAGGGGCCTATCCTGCTCGGCTGTCCCCAGGCGTCGCCCAGACCTGCAAGGGAACCAAGGAGCTGGTTAGAGCGGGAAGCGGAGCCGGGCCCGCCCTGC